GAGCCCTTGTAGGATTGAGACTAAAGGCTCTGAGAAGGAACTTTATATAAGGAGCTTGGAAGATTGTCAAGACTGGCAGGGCTTTGGAATAGGCTGCAGTGTAAAATCTAAAGGTGGAAAGAAATACATTAAACTCTTGCAGTGTAAAATGGTTGAGACTGGGGAAAGGTTAAAAGGGTAAAGTACTACATTTTCACAAATAGATATGTACAAACAAAGTTGTTCTGTTAGTTGAAATAAATGAACATTTATTTCACTTGCAAATAGAAATTAACTGGTTATAACAATAACTGGGGAGCTTTTTACATACAAAGTATTTTTACAAGGTAGTGTTTTCAAATGAACAAATTTCATGTCAGTGCTAAAAGGTCATTAGAATGCACTAAAAGGTGTTTAATGAAACATGCTGTTTTAAGCACTAATTTGGGGAAGAGAATTTAAATATGTTGGCCGCAAAAACTTTAGTTTTATGAGTGATTTTTGAAAAAAATAATCAAATATTTCTTTCGTGCACAGAGTAAGGCTTTAGAGTGTTTTCAAAAATGATATTTTTGCAGTAATGACTTTTTAGCACTGAGCCAACAATTTGTGACTTGCAGTTTGGTGATTATTTTCACTGAAAGACTTTTTTCTAATGCTCTTGCAATGTGGATGTACAACTTGGAAAAATACAAAATGCCCATAGAATTTTGTCCTGGGAAAACAGTTTCTGTGCTGGGATTTGGCTGGCTGAACACCATTCAATTTTGAAAGCATGCAATACTTACAAGCTTTAAGTCAAGTCCTAAAACGTAGTGCTATCAAAGTATCTACAGTCTTTCCAAATGGTAATTAAATTTTTGTACAAATATATCATTGCAAATTTTGAAGTACTGGTGCAGCATCTTCATAACTTGAGAATGTAAACATGAATTTTTAAATATGCAATTAATATGAGTATATGAAAAGAACTAAAATAAAGATGAACAGTAGACTTTCTTCAAAACCAAACTGATTAACTGTGTATTCAATATAAAGTACATGTACCTCGTAAGTCATGAGTACTTTGGATGTGAGTACAGTACAACGTCACTACACTGAACAATTGGGTATACAAACCATACCCCTTGGCTCCCAAATTTTCTGCGCACTTTTACATCAAAAATTTGTTTTAAATTAAAGAAATTTAGGACTAATGACAGCGACCCGAAAGTTAAGACGTCAATGAACACCGAAATTGGAACGGGCATTTCGTGAGCCCATAACAAAACAAAGAGCGAGAGAATCTGTTTTACACAACCAACTAACATTTCAACAAAAGAAAGAGTGCCCTCTATGTTTTGGCAAATAGCGCCCTCTTTTGCCAGGCCTTTTCGCCCTTTTTTTAGGAAATCAGAACATTTTGATTTTTAGGCCTATGAAAATGCAACGATTGGAACGGTACCAATTAAAATCACAATAATTGGGGAGGTATGCTACACCAAGCACTGTGTATGGACCCTACCCTGTTCATTGTAGCAGCATTGTACTGTATACCAATATACACTACTCAAAAATATTAAAGGATCAGACATTTGTCTTTGAAATTTCAGCCAGGTTTGTACCTCACTGACTTTACTTATTGTACACTGAAGCTCATGTTCATGCTTGGATGAGCACCGTAAGATATGAGACAATGCAATTGGTTAGTTGTGTTTCAGAGTCCAATCGGCTAGAGGGGGTCAAACAGCATTGGGTAATGTGTACTGCTCAAAGTTCAAGTTCAAAATGGCCACCTTTCAAACTCCTTGCACATTAATTCTGGTGGTACTGTAGTTCTGTTCAGAAACAGCTTAATGATTTTGAAGTCGCCAAAGGATGAGAAAACTCTGACGCAAGGGGGATGAGAAACTGGGAGTGTCTTAGATAGTTCGGGGGGGGGGGGTGTTTCAATGAGCCTGGCCAACAACCCTATGGTAAAATGGTGCACAAGTACATGTGTATATCTCACTTTAGGATATTTTGAGAAAAAGTGACTAAAATATTGGTACCATTTTGTGTTTACATTTTGGAAAACTGTGAAGATGTTTTGGAAAACTGTGAAGCTGTTTTATTTAATGTCCTGACAACCACAAATTTGATTTTTGGTATCAATCATCAATTTTATAGATAATTATAAAAATACAAGATTTGGGAGACAATTTGCAAACAGATACATGCCAGACACTGCATTATTTAACTGAAAAAAAAAGTCTCGACAGTTATGTGTAATCTTTTATGCTGAGACACATGCATCCTCAAAGTGCCTCATTTCTGTGATTGAGAATCACAAATAGCGCCCTCACATATTACCAGGATGTACTCATAAACAGTGCCCTCACATTACTGGGTTCAAACTTGACTTTTTATACATCATTTTCAGGGCCGTAAAGGAGACCAGAACCCGGTGCTTACCAAAGCGATTTTTCAGTCTCATGAGACTTCAGTACTTTGTTGTGGAAGTTTCTTGTTTTGATGCCAGAAAATAGGCAAACTAAATGACACTCATATTTTTGTGGTGTGAATACTATTTGCTTAAATTATTAATCGCTATGTATGATCCTTTGATCCCTTGAGTAGTGTACAAATGCAGAGAGACTTGCTCCATCACTAAGGTGGAAGCAAGGAACTGCATCTCTGGAAAGATTGAGTCCTTTCCTTGCCTTTGTGAATCAATGATTGTGGTTCTGACGAGGATCCCTCAGGCAATCTTAGAAACTGTTCTTCCTCAGTGATGGAGGTGAAGACTGGCGTCTATCTGAGTTTGACATTCTCATGAATCATCCCTGGGAAGTCCCATAGGATCTTGTTCCCCATCTCCCTTCTCTCCAGGTTAAAGGAGGCGAGGGCGCTCTTCTCATCAGCATCATGGGCTGCTTCTCCTGAGGCATACCCACAGCTTTCTTATGAAGGTCTAGGGAACAAAAGGAAATAAGTTGCAGCAGAAATTGTGACATTTCTTCAAATATTATAGGATTCTTCTACGCTCCCTTTTTACACCTTTTATTTCATATAAAAACTGTTAATGTCTATTGTTTTTCATCCATTTTCATGTCAAAAAATGAACTACGACAAAAGAGGATTCCTTTGACACTGCTGACCCATTACTTCTGAAAGCGTTTGTGATCTGTACTCTTTGGATTAATGAGAAAAATAACATTTTCACTTAATAATGCCTTTCTCTTTCCTAACAAGTGAGGGCACTGTTTATAGTCATGTCAATCAGGAAAGACCTCAAACCTAATGCATGCATCTATGGACCAAAAGCTCCTATAGAAATCAACCATTAATCTTGAAAGTGTGGGTGGAAGTATAAAACAGTGTGCACAGGTCTGTCGAGTTGGGATGAGCGATACAAATTAGAAATTTTGGACAGTGACTGAAAACACTGTTCCATGTACATGTTTACGACGTGGTCCCTTTTGTGTTTTGGATCGATCTTTTTCACAGATCCCTCTTATAATATGAGCTCTGAATATTCATTGATCACCTTCAAAAACCCACAACAAATCCATCAATTAGGTATGCATGTGATTTTCATTTTAAGACTTTCTTAAATTTGAAATGTTTTGGAAACACAGTTCCCAGTGCTCTTTCAGAAAAACCTTAAAAAAAGTATCTTAAATTTGCTTTTCAGGAATGGATGACAGGAATTTATCTGAGTTTCGCATAATGTGCACCTGGGCTTCTACTAAAGGCTTGTAATAATGGGCAATATTACGAGGAAGAAAATTTGAACTGTGCCGGGTTAGAACTTTTATAAAATGACCAACAAGGCAAAACAATGTTTGATGGACAATTGCCACAGTTGCCCCCAATCCATCTTCTTTGATGTACAAGTAGAGCAGTGCCTCACAGCAAATCATGAAACCCCTGGGGACAAGGCAGCCATTTGTTTGTGGTTACCGGTATTTCAAATGGAGACTTTCCTTAAATTACACTCCTTCTGTTGTCGGTCCGAAGGTATTTTATGTCTATGATTAGGAAGACGCCGCTTCCTTTCATGAGTTTCTTTCATTAAACATATTAAATCCAAATTTGCTCCTTAAACGTGCCTCAGGAATCCTTGACCACTGATCATTGGTAATTTGTTATGAAACAGCAATGAACCTCCAAAGACAAGAACTTTAGGCCAGGAAAATGTGAACAATTCCAGTATAGTCGGTGCATTCAACTACCTTGCCCTGGTTACAAGGGCTCAACCTCATCCCTATCGTCTTGCTTGGTTGACTCAAACACACAACCATCCCTGGGCCAGCTAGGGCTGCCTTACAAGCTACACTAGTACCCAAGGGTGGATCCAGGACCCAATTGTTTTTCAGGAGAGGGGGCAAACTTGATTCTAGGGGCCAATTTTTTTTAAATTTTTAAAGTTGTTTGAGGGGTTAGGCTTCATTTCCACTTTTCAAAAGAAGGAAAATTCAAGTGACCAAAAAGATCCTTCCAGTTTTTTTAAAATGAAAACAATTTTGCTCCTTTTTTGATCATGACTCAAATTGGCTCCTCCCCCTTTCCCAGATTCATCCTTGCAAAAAGCCAACAGTGATATGACACACACGACTCTTACCTGTGCTACTCATGATGCAACCTGCCTCTTCACTTTGGAGATTTCATCGGTCACTCCACTTGCACCATGGTGCTAGTCAGCCTCAACATTCATGTAGACAGCCATGGTAGTACATTCACCTGGCAATGAGGCCTTCCCAAATCTAAAAAAGGGGAAAATGGCCAAAAATAACAAAAAAAGGTCACCTAAGGTTTTTCAGTCATTCTGTATAAGTGATTTTTTCCCAACTGAGCAAAACATCCATGTTTCAACCCATCACCACATAGACTCTTATTGTGGGTTGCTGTTACATCCATAAAACCATACAGTGCTGGGGAGTGCAGGGAGTAACGGCCTGGGTGGGGTCAGGGCCCAATTTCATGGGAGTTAATGATACGGTCATCAGAAAAATCATGCTAACTTTAGCAGAAAAATGTGCTAACCCTAAGCACTATATTCCATGGCGGTGCTCGGCGTGGTTGTGCTAGCGGCTGCGAGCAAATAGAGATTTCTGTTGTCACGTCACTACATGTTCATGTAAGCTTAATAAACAAATCTCTCCTCCAAGGTTAGGATGCCTTTGCCTATATTTACATGTACTGTTTACGGTTTGCATGAAATACGCAGAGCCTCTGTAAGCATGAAATCCTGTGCTAAGGGGTGCCGAGAAATTGGGCCCTGATTGTTACAAGCAAGGTTCCCACAAAATCTGAAAATCATATTCACTGACCTTGCCTGCATTTTCCAGAACTTTAATATTGCAATTTCCATGACAATTACTGCCACTTTGCACAGAAAATAAATTTCTTTTGGTATAATAAACCAGAAGACTGCCATAGCCACTACTACATGTATAGACTAACCAGGTCAGTATGGACATTTATTGCTACAAGTACATTGTACAGTCGACTCTTGTTATTATGCACGTTTATACATGTACAAGTATGGGTGTACATGTACATGTATGTGCATACACGTGAAGCGTGGTTGATGTTATATAAAAAAATATCATTCGGTTATAATTAATCAAATATATTGTGATGTGTTTAGAATGATAAAATTCACTGTCATATGAAAACATGTTTAATGTGCATGTAAGATTAAAAAAAGCAAATACATGTACATGTGAAAGCATCAATCCAGGGATTTTTAAAAGGCTTTCGATCGCCATGGATGACGACGAAGCCAAACGGCAAGCACATGTAGGACTGTGTGTACCAGCAAGAATGTGAAGACTCATCAACTAGAGCCTCCATCCATGTGTTTGTTTGTTTCTTTGTTTATTTATTTGAAAATCTCTCCACAGGTACCATAAAATTAAAAAACAGAAAATAATACAATATAGCAGAATACAAAATACATGTACATGTACATGTATGTCCGAGGGATCGTCAAGGATAACACAAATAAGCTGAAAAGACATTTGAGTAGTCTTTCCAACACAAATTGTGCCATGGAGAGACATTTTTATTAAATTTTCTGTCTGTCTTATGATCTTCAACACTAGCTGCATGACATGATTGATCGATAGTCCGAGTTCATTCGTTCACTGTGGCGCGGCCGCCTGTGCATGAGACAGTCGCTGAAGGAGCATGGTGTCATGAAGGAATATTGCGATTGGATAGCTGTGTCTCTCAAAATGTACGTCATGAAAATGCACAGTCTCATTGGCCGGTACGCTAGATCTTTTTGTAGCAATATGAATAATTCAGTGTTGGGCGATTAGTTGGGCTCATGAGAAGTGAGAGTAGTCAAGCGAAGTAATTTGGCCGTACTTTTTTTGGAATAGGGAATGGAATTTTTGTTTTGATGTCTGTGTAATCAATGTAAAAAATAATTGATTTTTGAATCATGCTTTATGCTTGTCATGATTACAGGAAACTGGCAAACAATGTCTGTGTATCGTGTTGTTAGCGTGTGTGACGCATCTGAAGGGGCGAGTGATTAGCGAGTGATTAAATTTTGTGGAAACGCTAGTTTCGAGTGCGAGCAGTACATCTTCAAATGAAATACACGAACACAGAAAACAAAAACATAGACATGAGATCAATTTTTGTGAAGAACTTACAGAAACATTTGTGACAGCAGTATTTTTCCGGCTTGCAACTGCAGAGCTGCATTCGTATACAAAGTACATGTACTGGAACGCTCCAAACCTTTTTGGCAGCAACTGTACACTGACTGGTGCCTCATGCCTTCTTTGGTAATGGTTCGGCCCGGCGGGAACCAGTGTGACGCACTGCGCACGTGTTTTTACCACGCGATTCGCAATCGTTCGTTATAAATGGGTCATCAACAACGGTTTTTCAGGCAACAGAGTCAAGAAAACCATTCGTTGCAACAGGAATTTCGTACAATGCGATTTCGCTGTAACAGATTTTTCCCCGTAGAGATGTGCACGTTTTCGCCGGGACCACAGACTTGTGTTTGTTGTAAACGGAATTTCGTTAAAGCCCATTTCGTAATAACGAGAGTCAACTGTAAATGCATTCTGTTTTGTGGCTCATCAAAAATAGCCCTTGTACCATATGATCGTGATTTTCATGACTTGTCCTTTGACCAAGTTTCAATGAGATTTCCACAATTTCCTGGGACAACTTTTTCTCACGATTTTCTATGACTGTGGGAACCCTGTACAAGGACAAACGGCTTATTAAGTACTGTACAGTCTATCATTTATCCAAAAGGTATCCAAAAAAGCATAGCTGGTGTAGATAGAGGACTAAATTCTGTGAGAAATTGTTCTTTCTTACAAACGGTCATCATGAAGAAACAATGAAAGAAGGCCGTCCCCAATCTTAATTTTGGAAAATTGCCAATAGAAATGTGCGCAAGTGTTCACAAAGTATACATGTACATGTACAGACACGAGCAGTTTCTGTGATTCGTCGGTTCAGAAGGTGACATCATGGAAATGCAGTGGCGCTGCATTCAACTGAAAGTGAGAATGTGTCCCAGGTGCTGAAATCAGGTGCAAGTTAAAACATGAGTCGGCAACTACAGATCCAAAATCAAACATGCAGCATTTATTAAGCTGAAACTTCAGCAGGTTTGTTTTTAGGCATGCCTCCTTAGATTTTGAGTAAATTGCCTGGAAAAAACATAATGGACAAAGGATCAGAGAAATGATGGACTGTACATTCCAACAAATTTTTGAGAAGACCAAAATCATGACTACTATTCTCGTAATTCTGTGAGGAAACAAGAGATGGCTTACACTTCTGGGGCAGTGATGCCAGAAGATGAGCCCACAGGCAGGGCATCGACCATGCTGCTCTCGCCTTACTCTATCAGTGAAGTGATGCCAGAAGATGAGCTCACAGA